CTGTACCCTCCTACTTAAGGCTATAGTCAGTGAGGATTATCTGAAGAAATTATTTTTTAAAAATTATGTTAACATTCTGTAGGCTACATGAAGTACAGACTATGTACATGTCTGACAAGCTTTTAAGGCAGACCACCCACACTTTATTTTCATAATGACCAAGGCACCCAGGTGACATTAAAGCCCTACAACCTTCAAAATCAACTTGAAACAGAGAAACATCATCTCCTCTGGGCAAGGAATAAGGTTAGAAAACCAGTCTCCCCTCTGTGGGATGTACTTCACCATTCAGGACTAGCCCTTCACCCCAGACTTTCAGCACCTTTCTGAGCTGTGTCAGTATCCATGTTGAATGTCAGTGTTCTCCTGAGCCACGGGGTGATTTTTTCCAAGCACCTCCAAAGCCCAGTTGTTGGGCTGCATCCTGCCCTGACGCACATTGCCACCTCCCTCTCTGCTGAGCCCATCACTTCTCTCTGCGTGTAAACACTGGGCTGAGCCCCAGCGAGGTGTAGAAGTTTCTCCCCTCCTGCCACATGTTTCTACCTGATCCAGAATAGGGCAGATGGAATAAGGCCAGCTTCTACCTTGCTGAACAACATGTCTTTAGTACACCAGAACACATGGTGTGCACACAGCAAACCGAGCACCAATGAAACCTTCACACCGTCTGTCGCAATGTGTGAGCACACGGAAATTCTGACGTGAGCTAGAACATCTCTTTTACTGAGAATACTGGACTGCTCATGGGATTGGCTTTCACAATAATGACCCAATCCAAAATTACTCTTTTTCCCCCTTCTGAAAGAGTGTGGCAATATCTGGAGCCAACATGTACCTGGGGGTAGGATGGTTAGAGAGAACAAGTCGCTCATTGTTCAGTATAGCACCTGGCAGATCTGTCAATAAGCAATGAATACAAAACATATTTGCTGCTACAAAGAATTATTCAATTACTGATTAACTCTTATTCAATCTAAATTTGAACCAGGTGCCTGCAGTTGACAGTTCCACAACATAGGCCAAGCTATGCCTTCATTAGAAAGTAAGAAATCAAGTACAAAAGTTTTAAAACAAGGCTTTCAATTGTTTTTAAATCTGATATTTGCCAGTCATTTTGCATGAATAGAACTTTGAGGAAAATGTAATTAAGTAGAGAAAAAGTTATATAGTAAGACTATGTGAAAGCAAATTCACTGTCCTTAAAATCTTTTCAACTTCCATAAAATTTTATTTTCTCTAGGAGGACTGAAACCTGGTTCATAGATATGTGATCAAATCTGCTCCAGTTCCAATCGTTTGAGAGGTTACCTTGTGCTAGTTGACTGCAAGGACATTTCAGGACTGCCTTGTTTGCATATCTTAGGTGTGAGGTGAAATTTATGAGACTATCTCATCTTCACTGTCATTTAAGCTACTGCATTTTCACTTGCAGCTGGTACACTCCAACACCACATTCTGGCAAGAGGATAACTCACTTAGGTGAAATAATTTAATTGCATGTGATGAAACATCTGTACTCCAAGACTGTTTTTTGCTACAAAAAAGGAATAACAAGGTGTTGACAGCTGGTGCACTTCAGCTGGTGCACTTCTCTGCCATGTGGGAGAGCTAAGATCCAGTCTTGACATCAGGGCTTACTTAAAATCATGTTTGGAAACTGAAACTGCTCCAAAAGACAGAAACAAGGCAGCTGGTTTATAAAAGGCCAATCATTAGAGCAGGCAAGTTTGAACTACAAGATGTCTGACTCTCCATTTCTCAGCAGAATGAAGTACAACATGGATTTCACCTCTCAGATGCCACGAGACTGATTATCAGTTTGCAGATAGCATCTCACTCTTTTCACAAATTCTTAGCAAATGAGGGCACAGAGCACAGGTATTGCCATGAACTCGCAATTTGCAAATGGTTTGTGAGACCTGGTGAAACATAATCTGAGTTCAAGATTCAGAACATCATGTGAAAATAAGAGACGTTGCACAAGATTGGAGACAATTTGTTTGGAAAGAAAAAATTGCTCAGAAGGCAGAAAGAAGTCTTTCCTAACAAACATCAAAATATCAGAGTTTATCAAGAGCTCCAATCTGGATTCTCTAAAAAATTATTTCTGTATTAAATGCTTTAGAAAAATATAATTATGACATCAGTGAAAGTCAAAGTAAAAAAATGTATGTAGATATTTTTAAGAGAAAATGACAAACCACTCAGATGGACTCTCAAGGGGGATCATGGAATAACCCTCCTGGGGTTCTTGAGCTCAAGACTAAATGTAATTCTGAATACACATCCGTCAAACACAAGACATGCAACAACAAAAAAAGAAAAAGCAAGGGTTTTTACATGTAAGTTTTTGAGTGAAATGTAAAATCTCTTTGTAAACAAGAGGATGAGCTGGATTTTCCAGTGATCGCTTTTCACCTAATTGTTATGAAACAAAAACAAAACAAAAACAGAGTATGAATCAGATCACGTCTTTGTAATGATCCTTTGAATGGAATGTTCTCTTAAACTGAGTATTTTTGTAATGCTGTCAAATCAGCAAGTCATATTTTCCTGGTACAGTTTGTCCTATATTTACTTTTTACCCTTCTGGAAGTTTTCAATATTAAATTATACTTCCATTTGTATTAATGGAAGTATTTTTATGAGGAAAGAATTCTGATCGATTGGAGACACTTTGTCATGCTTGTTGTCTTGTTTTGCAGTTTTATTTACTTTTTTTCATAAAACAGGGTTTTTCCAAGTATTTATGTCATGATCAGTCATTTGAAAAGGTTATTACTTCACTCTGCAACTACTTCATTTGCATACAATCTGAACTGACTGCCTGTGATATATCTAAGTATCTAGGTAATATATTGCCTTTCCTGTTTTTTGACAAATGCCTAACCTCTTGAAAGGTTTTTCCAGGGAAGCAAGAATAAAAAGGTAAAGCTCTGACAACTGCAAACAAGTGCTGAAAAATATTGAAGAGAATTGTTATACCCTTTTTGTGCCTCTTCCCGCCGTGGTCTGCAGCTTATGTAACACAGTGTCAGATGGACTGTGGTCTGTAAAGACGATTGAACAGCTTAAAGCATGCCAAAGAAGAGTTCTTATTTCTTTTCTTTAAAAAAAAAAAAGGCATAATAACAAAAGAAGAATTTTTTTAAAAGGGTTTTGGAAAATTTTTCCAAAGACACTCAAGTTTTATGACATGTTATCACAACAACCGCATGCAGTGCTACAGGTTGGGGACAGGCTGGCTGGAAATCAGCCAGGCAGAAAGGGACATGAGGATGTTGACTGACAGACAGTTGAACATGAGCCATTGTGAGCCCAGGTGGCCAAGAAGGCCAATGGCACCCTGGCCTGTATCAGCAACAGTGAGGCCAGGAGGGCCAGGGCAGTGAATATGTGCCTGCCTGCACTCAGCACTGGTGAGGCTGCATCTTGGTTGCTGTGCCCAGCTCTGTGCCCCTCAATTCAGGAAGGATGTTGAGAGGCTGGAGTGTGCCCAGAGAAGGGTAAGAGAGCTGGTGAAGGGTCTGGAGTACAAGAGCTTTGAGGAGCTGCTGAGGGATCTTGGGGTGTTCAGCCTGGAGAAAAGCAGGCTCAGGGGAGGCCTTGCCCCTCACTGCAACTCCCTGAAATGAGGCTGTAGCCAGGTAGGGGTCAGTCTCTTCTCCCAGGCAGCCAGTGACAGGACAAGAGGACACAGTCTTAAACTGTGCCAGGGCAGGTTTATGTTGGACATAAGGAAGAAGTTCTTCACAGAAAGTGTGATTTGGCCTTGGAATGGGCTGCCCTGGGAGATGGTGGAGTTACCATCCTGGAGGTTTTTAAGGAAAGACTGGATGTGGCACTCAGTGTCATGGTCTAGTTGACAGTAGTCTGTCTAGTAGTTCAGTCATATGTTGGGTTTGATGATTTCAAAGTTCTTTTCCAACCTAATTGATTCTGTGATTCTGTGATCTAGAATTTTGGATGAAAAGTCAAGTAATTCCTCTTCATTTACATTGTGCTATTGTTGGTAAAAAATAATTGAACTTTTGACATTCAATTTAAGCCATCTCAACAGCATAAACAAAATATAATTTTGTCAGTTCAAGATGGTGGGGCAAATATTCATCACATGGGAAAAGGCAAAGAAACTGTCTGACTGGAGTTAGGTGATTTGAGCTCATTGCTCCTTAGAGGCCGGGAAGGAAATCTTCATGGGATGACTTTTCTTGGAAATGTGTTCCCCTTTGTGCTTGCCCCTAATTTCTCCCTGGTGCCCTCATGCAGCACTTTCAGCAGCAGTGGCAGCCACTGTCCAGCCCTTCCACAGCCTTTTTTCTCACCTGACCTTCCCGCTGCACCCAGGAGCTGTGCCTGAGGAATGTAATATGCAGCCCCTCTGGTCTCCCTTCCTGGCAAAGAGAGAATTAACCCCCTTATGTCAAACAATGTAGATGTTATGATTTTCCTAAGCCCAGCTGCATAAGCTGAGCAGTAGCTGTGGGCTGTATCCACTGCCCCTGCTCTCTTGTGGAGACTCAAAGACAAGTCTTCAGCAGGAGGTACAGTTGTGTCAGTAGAAGTTCCAAAAGGACCCAAAATGCAGTACACCACAGTTAAACTGCCTTTTTTGTCAAAAAAACAAAGAAGAAGAAAAAAGTGTATAATTCCATTAAATTGGCCTGTGATAAAGGAGCCATATAGGACTGGAGTTTACAAAATTTTGGGTATTCTACACTGACTTTGAATTTTACCCCTCATTTAAATGTGAAAAGGCCCCATACAACACATTTCCTCGTGATTGTCTAATCATAGTCAAACCCAAATTGTGCCCTGATCTGCAGATGGCTGTGTATTTTCATAATGAATGGCTAATTAATACTTTATACTACAAAATGTCTTCCTGGTTCTCCATCACCAGTGTCCAGTGGAGCCCAATGGCAGCCCAGTTTATATGGACTGGAAGGCTCCTCTCAGGCTGAACTGAGTTCCCAAGCTGTGACAGGCAACCACAATACTTCCTGCTTGTATTTAACATTTTGCCTTCTACATAGCTTTAAGATCACAGTCTTCTGCTACAAATGTTAAATTTGTGATGGTTTTGGCATGTCTGCTTGATGCAGGATTAAGAAATTAACGATATGAACTGAATCTGTATTGACATAGCTGGCAAATGTACCACATAATTTCAAAGGAAATCATAAGTTACAGCATGCTCAGTTCTTCTGCTACTTAATGTTTTTCCTTATTTCTCTGTTTAATGTTTTTCCTTATTTCTCTGTTTAGATTGTTGTTCAGAAAGCTGAGAGACATTTACATGCATTTGAAAAGGCCTGAAGCTCAGATTCCTGTTATCAAGGAGCAGCATCCACCCCTTCATTTCAGCCTCAGTGGGAAAGGCAGCTGCTTTGTCTTCAGCTTTGACCAAGTCATCTTCTCTTGACATCTGCCCCAGGAGAGGAAGCTGTAAGACCTTTTTCACAGTCAAGCAAAGCGAGTAGTGCAGATGACACATAAAGCTGAAATTCTGTTTCAACGGAAAGTTGAAGATTTGTTTCTGTTTAACTACTTGGACATAAGTTCACAACATGAACCACATACACAGATCCATTCACCTGGGCCTTTCTCAGGGGTGCATCCCACAGAGGCAGAGAGAAAAATGGTGTTTTGGACAGAGAGCTGATGAAGTTCTGAGTGTTGGCTCCTTTCCCTGCTGTGTCATCCCTGCTGCTGCACAGCTTTTCAACTGCAGCTGAACCACACTAGAGGACTGGTCCTACAGGCTGATGATCAAAAGGATCAAGTTATTTCAATCTTAGTTCTGTTTTAGATTCCATAGACATCTTATTAGTATGTCCCAGAAAAGTTACAACAAATATTTGGTTTCCATGTTTGCATGTTTTCCGAGTTCTTGTGAAGTTTTCATATCCCTGCACAGTTTTTGTTGAATATACCAATTTCAAGAAGACAGTCAGTATCTTATACAGTGAAAACTATAATGGAAGCAACAAAAAATTTTTAATTTTATCATGTATGATTTATTCAGCTGAGAACTCAGGCCGCTATTTCTGGCTTAAATTAATGAAATCACTCATAATTCTTGAGACTTCCAAAGATATCCACAGTATGACACATTATGGGGCCCAATCTCAGCACTGCATTGTGTAGGTATTACTTTGTCCTGCTTCAGAATTCGTCATTTGAATTCCTGTCTCTTCAGACTATTCCATTTCTCATGTGGTTTGTCATTCACAGATTTCATTAAACCTTCTTTCTATCAAATTGTTTGGAGCCTCAAAGTAGAACTTCTCCTTTCATCAGAATTGGCCAAAAAGTGGCACTAATATAGTAGAAGATTTATTTTCCATCTAGCATCCAAAAGAATTATTTTAGCTTATTCATCATAAGCATAGTGACTCTGGTGTGAAAATCAATGTACTTGCATTAATTTTATAGCAATAATGTTAAGTATGGTGTTAATTACTACCATATTAGTACTAGTCTTAAGAGTTTTATTTCAAGTATCAATAACTGAGTGCATTAAGGACACACTCTATTCTCCATCTTGTGTCTCTGCCACCTTTGTAAAGGATCCAGAATACTTCTGGCCCAGGAGCCCTATATCCATTCCCTATCATGTCTCTATCTCTATTGACCAATGTACATACTATGCACAATCCAGGGTTGGAATATCTATTTCTACATAATGCCACACCTTGTACATGGTATATTCTTATCAAGAATAAAATTTATCACTCACTCATATTCCTATTTAAGTATAAATTACCAATACAATTTTGAAAAGAGCATACAATAAAACTATTTGGCACAGTGCTTTGGAATAATGTCAAGAAATACCAGAAAATCAAGGGGGCAGACTTACAAGGACAGACCATTACGTAGAAGTCATGCCATTTCCTTCTTGTTGATAACAAGCTAAAATCAGGCTACTTAGTCCTATAGCTAAGAAATAAAATAAAATTAAAATAAAAAAAAAAAGCTCTGAAAAGAATAGTGAGTATTTTTTCACTTTTTTGAGTGGTTTCACATCAGCCTTCTCAGATGACTGAAAAATGACTGCTTTTTAAATAAAGCCATAATTTAAATATAATAATATAGGTTTTGTCAGAGCTAACAAATACATCCTGATTGCATTTCTGGTTGGATTTGCAACATGTTATTGGCAGACATGAACTTTAACCTGTGGTTGCTAGCGTCTTTTGGCAAAAGCAACTTGAGCTGGAGCTCATTCCCTGGATTCAGCTGATTGACCAAGCACTGTGTGATTTTCCTTATTAGGAAAGACGTCTGACAGGGATGGCCCCATCAGCATTCCAGATGAGAGCCCTCACCACTGACCAGCTTATGGAAATTACAGTACAGAATTTTAAAAGATGAGCATTCCCTTTCCAGTGTAAATATCATTGCTTTATTTTAATTGCATCTTGGAAGAACAGCTTTACAGGGATTGTAGAAATGCCTTTTTCATCTTATATTTAACTTACATATGTACAGAGTTCTTCACACTTACAATAAAAAACAAAAATATATGTACAACAGGTTTAAAATTATTTATGCTGATTCAAATTTTATGAGACCAGTCTTTGGCTCCTTACTTGGGACATATATGTCCTAAAGTCTGATTGCAAAGAGCAAAGACTGCTTCTCTCAAAGAAAAAATCCAGTTGTCACAATGTTCCACTATACAGAGATTTTGAACAAGAATATATTCACAGTCAATAACCACCTTATGTAAATTCCCATCACAACAAAGTGAGGCAGCTTTTCAGTAAAGTATTTCAGTAGTAGAATTTCATCACAGAAACATAAATATAAATGTCACAAGGTTAAACATTAGCAGATTTTTCTAGACAGATGGGGGAAAAAAATCTTTCTTTAAGTACTCACTTTTTTTTATTTTGTACTGGGGATGAAGCCCAACTTAAGCTATTGGATTCCTGACACCTGAGATTCCTTCACAAGGGGAAGCAGAGGGGATCACACTGATCTTTGCTCTGAGGTGACAGTGACAGGAGCCAAGGGAATGGCCTGAAGCTGTGTCAGGGGAGGTTTAGGTTGAATATCAGGAAAAGTTTCTTCCCCCAGAGGGTGGTTGCGCACTGGAACAGGCTCCCCAGGGAAGGGCTCACAGCACCAGCCTGACAGAGTTCAGGACGCCATTTGGACAATGCTCTCAAACACAGGGTGTGACTCTTGGGGATGGATCTGTGCAGGGCCAGGAGCTGGACTAGGTGAGCCCTGTGGGTCCCTTCCAACTCAGGATATGCTATGATTCCATTATTCTATGCTTTCTGCAGGGTTTTGGGAAGATTCTGAAGTGGGTTTTACTATCCTGAAACCCTGTGAAATCCTGGGTTGCTACTCAGCCCTTGGTTTAATGTAGAAACATGATTTTGAGGCTTATGGCAGAGATTGCTTTGGCCATCTTTCTGGGAAAATCAGAAAATATTTTTTCCCCGGTCACTGAGATAACTCCACAGTATGAGGTTTTTTGTCTCCTCGTAACACTAGGGACAAAATAGGAGAGAAAAAGAGATACCTATCCAGTTGCTGACATGCAGTGGGTTTCAGGGCTCAACCCAGAAAGGGCTCGACCTCCTTATAAAATTAAGATGAAGGGAAATCAAGAGGGGTACATCCCTAGAACAAGCTCGGATGTCCCATTGTGCCTGTGAGAGGAAAGATGTTGGAGACTCTGTTGGAATGTGGGAAAGGCAGCTATTTATCAAGCAGAAACAGCTTTGTAAAGAAATATGATCCCAAATGTGAAGGTTACTGCTGTAAATTCCCAGCCAAGTTCAGTCAATAAATGTGTGACCTAAATTAACCACTTCCCTCCATCTTATTTTCTTCTTTCAGGTCTGGGACAATGGGGCCTATGCTGTGGGCACAGCACAAATTTCATTCTGTTTTTCATACGGTACTTTAAAAATACACAAACTTTTTGCTCTACAGGACAAGTCATGCGCTGGATATTTTGGAGGGCAGTAATACTGTCAAATTTAATAACCAGAATTTAGAAGTGGTCTAGCTGTTTCTACTCAATAAAAAATGGAGTATGGAACAATAAGGTTTTTTGCACTCATGGATAATAAAGCAGAATCTTAAGGCCACGAGCTTCAAATATGGGAAAGGGCCTGTTTCTTTTCTATGATGCCCCTCAGCCAAGTAATGATTGAGTTGGTGCAGTATTACATTTTAAGCATGAATCTTACAAGGCTTTTAAGAAAAGCTAGGAAAGGAACAGCAGAGGAGATAAATCTTTTGATCACCAAACAGCCTGACCTGCTCTTTTGGGGGATGACAGCCTCAGGAATGCACTGCCGTTCATCTGCTGCACCAGGTGGGAGTGCAGCTCCTCCTTGTTATCCCATGATCCACATCAGCTGTTTTCTGTCTTCTGCCCTCAAAGTTTTCTGTTCAGCTGCCATCCTGCAGCAGAGGATTGCCTTGAGCCTTCCTGCAAGTCTCCATCAAACCCAGCATTCCATCACCATCTGCCTCATTGGGACCAGGCTATCAGGGTCCCTGTGTAGTGATCCAGTATCTCCCATGGTCCAACTTTAGCTCAAAATGCTGAATCTGTAGCAGCTCAGATGCCCACACTGGCTGTGTCTTGTGTGACAGAGGCCTGTAGTCATCAGCAGCATCAGTAAATTTCTGCTCAGCTGCTCTGAGCCACAGGGCTGGCTACAGCATCATTCCTGCATTCCCACTAGCACAAGGAGTTATAGTGACCTCTCCTCCAGGATTTCAGCAACTCACAGCTTGTTTTTAAAGAATGATAAAATATATAAGCTTATTTATTTACTATATTTTAGGCTTACAAAACTAAGCTCACTTCCCTGTCCTGCCCTACCTGTTGTTTTATTTTTTTCATTCTTTCTCTCTTTTTTCTTTTCTTTTCTTTTTTGTTGGGTTTTTTGGTTTTTTTGGTTTTTTTTTTTTTTTGTTCTTTTTTGGTTTTTGGTTTTTTTTGGCAGAGAAGCTCAGATCATGTTGAACTCAAAGGATGAAAACCACAAGAATGCAAGAAAATCATGACAATCTTTGCTTAAATCACAACTGTATAGTGCCAAAAAAATATTTGCTCCTGGTATTTATTCCCAAATGTCATAATCATTACAAATAGCAGTCCATCTGAAACACATGGAATTCGTCACTGGCAGAAAGCAAAGCAAGAGCCCTGCAAGATGTTTGAAGAACATGACATCGACACTGGAGACTATGCCCTTGCATTGCCTCAAAAATTATTTATATTCATTGCTTCTTCAAAGAAATAATAAGAAGCTGATAAACTGAACAGTTAGCTCACCTGCTATGCAAACAATATGAGTGACTCATTTAAACTAACATTTGAGATTGGCTGTACTGGCTGGGGTTTTTTTGGTCAGTACTCCACAAGAGATGAAACTGAAGTGGAATTGATTGAAGACAAATATTGATCACTCTGCCTTATATCACCGTTTGCCCTGGAATGTCATAGTCATATAGGACATTAAATAACTGCTTGTCGGTTTTTTTGGTTTCTTCTGAATAAGAAACTGAGGTCATTCTGAAACAAAATATTGTAGTTCAGGACTGTGACAATTTTTAACATTGAGAAGGAACTCAAATCTATGGTTTATTGCAAACATTCCCAGACAACTTAAATAATAATGCCAAGTGAGTGAAAGTTCCAAGCCAGCCCCCATGTGGGTGCATTTGTCTCTGTTTTCTGAGTAGACCTTTCTGATTAGTGAAGAGAGAACAAGACCCACCTTTAATTTTTATTTTGTGCAGGGCTGGACTGCCGGGCTGTGGCATGACTTGTGTCCCTGTTGAACCTGCTGGCAGGGACACGTCTCAGGAATGCGGCTTAACATGGGGAGCCCGTCAGTCCAGACACCTTGAGTTTTAATTCTTGAACTGAATAACTCAAAATTCAGTAACAGCAAAACACTTTTAAAGAATATTTATATTTGAGCACATGTATGGGCCTCATATCCTTGAACTAACTTATTTGTATAGGTGCAGTTAAATATTCCCCTAAAAGCTTGCTCCAAAGATATGGATTTAGAAACATTAGCTGTATAGGCTTTGTAATAACAGAGTCCCTGAATCCTATCTGATTGCCTCCAGAGCTTTAATATTTTGCGTGCCAACCTTTAGTGTTTGAGTAATCCCAGCACGTGGTTTATATAAATGACCCAGAGAGGCTTCACTGCATGGCATAGCAACTCTTTTTTTCCACACAAGGCAAACAGCTGGAAAGGATGACCTCCCACTTACTTCTGCATGAATTTTGATATGAGCCTGGAACTCCAAGACAACAGAGAACTCTCAATATAATGAAAAAAATTCTTTCTGCATTTCCTTTTACCCTTTCTGCACTGTTCTGACAAGTATATTCTTTCAATAAATAAATTATAATCTTCCAGTGTGAAAATACTGCCACAGCAATTAAATAGATTTACCAGTGTCAGGCATTCTCAAGTAGCATTCTCAGGACCATAAGAAAAAAATTATTTGTCCCTTCAGCTGTCTGGTTTTGCTCAATTAAGATTTGAAATATATAGTCACAAAATTGCTTGGGAATTTTTTTACTGTGTGTTTATCTTGCAAACATTCTTATAACAATGCTGAAAAACATTCTAAAGAAGAAAAATTTAAAGTGAGTAGTAGTACTGATCTCAAATCCCTTCTTAACAGCAAAAATGCAATATGGCAAAAGACAAAATACAATATTATTAGTTATGACTACATCAGGCAAAAAATATCCACTGTGTTTTTTTGTTTCAGCAAATCCTTTCCTGCTGGTGATCATATTTTGAGTGCTTAATTTAAAATAATGCTTGTTGTAAACTCATTTCAGCTTTCAGGTTCCTTGACTCAAAATCAATTCAGTTGCATGTGATTCATTTCTATTGAAGTATGACTAATCAATCATATACTACTTCTGTTTTTTGAGATAATAGGGAAGAATAAGAAAAAGGAAATTGTAAAAATTATTTCTGAGAAAAAATTTCAAGCAACCTATAATTATGTGTGAAAAAAATCATATTCTTATGAGTAATTCATAATTATGTGAACACTCATGATCAAATTATAGAGTATTGCAAATATGGAGCAATACTTTCATGTATAGTCACATAAATTGCCCCCTTTCATCATCAGTGCTATTTAAATAGCTTGATCTCCTGGGTAGGTCTATTGCAGTAAATCAATATTTCTTGAATGTCTAAAAATGCCA